TTTTCCCCCCATTCTTCTCAGAGAGCTGAGCGGGGAGGGGTGAGCAGTTACGCACGGAGGAGGAGGGGGGAGGGCGCATGACGAAAGAGGCACTGCAAACACTAATGTATTTTTGCTCTGTTAAATAAAGTGCATTTTCCGACTGTCGCGAATGATGGGAAATTGTGACTTACTAAGAGGAATTAAAACAGAAGAGGAAGGTTCACACCTATTCATTTATTTGAACTTATACATGCTACATAATTTTCTTGGGAAGTAAAATTGATTGGGTTCAAAATGACATTTTACAGCTGTAAATTTAATACCATGACACCGCGGGATTTTCACTCATGTTCGCGAGACCGTCAGAATCTTATATCGGCCCATGCCTGCAGTATGTGAGACAAACACACCCTCAATTTATAGCCGCATGCTCAGTTCGCACGTGAGATGCCTCAACTTATCCAACTTCCGACACATTGGAATTTTAACGTTAACGTGACATACTGTGATTGACCTCCTGTCCTTTATCCTCTACTCAGAAGCGGTGCTTTTCTCCACTTTAAATCGGAAAATTTTGATTAAAGCACACCACTCCAGCTATGTATAGTATGTTGTACCCAGAGCAACAAAATTTTACTGAATGGACTTGCTGCCACTTTGCACTTCTTTTTCTATGTTATGAACTGCGACCAATCTGTGCATCCGACAACACTGCAGCTCTCCCCGAGCGATTTGGCTTTCATGCGTGAGGTGCACTATAATCTGCACTAAATGAAAAAAATCATATTGTTTGCTTGAAGGCCCATTTTGGGATCCAGGCAGTGCAAAACAAATGTTGCAGAATGCGTCATTTCACACTTGACGGGTGGCGAGAGGCACTTGAGAGATGCCAAGAGGTGCAGACAAGAGATTCAAAAGTAAAAGTGAGGATGAAATATGGGCTATTTTCTTTCATCACGTCCTCATTTATCTCGATAAGCACACGTTAGGAAAACTTGTGCATACTTTTTGCTTTTTCAAGGACACGCCTTTCGCAAATGAGTTCACTCAAATTAATTCACTTTGGATGAAAAAGTCAGGATGAGATCAGAGTTTCGACAGCTTAAAAAAAAAGATCTCACGCATGCAAAACTGAAATATGGAAGCACATTAATAATGAATAGGTTTTAATAAGCCGGCTGAACTTATTAAAACTTAATCAGGAAGTGGTGGGGGTGGGAATAGAAATCGTGACAGGAGTGATTGGCGTTTAAAATTTCAATCACGTTAGCGGCATATAAGACTGGGTTGCCCTTTAATGATTGCGCACCAAATCGCGTTTCTCACTCTTTCTCTCTATTTAATTTGAATTTTTTTGTAGATGGACGAATGTTGCTATCGACTTAGATCACTATGAGCACAAGTCAGGAGGAAGGAGCGAATTAAAAAAAACACGGAATGTTGAAAGTTTAGGTCCAATTCACACTTTAAAAACAAGAGCGACGCCGACGAGCTGACAAAAATAGGTTAGCTAATTTAAGATAGCCTACCAATGCTACGGTTGGAGCGTATTGTGTTGCCCCCAAGGGTGGTCAACGAGAAAGAGTCGCTAGTGTACTTTCTTTGAATAAACAGGATTAAAATAAACACATCCTGGTACATTTATGAGCTGCTCCGGGGCCCCAGGGACTCAACGCACACGCTGGCTAAGCTGAGCTAGCAACCGCTAACCCCACTCATTCGCTGACTCCCACATCACTCACCATGCCACGCCTTTCAAAGCCACACAAATTCAAAGTCACACGTACTAAAGCGCAGATTACTATGAGCACAAGTCAGGAGGAAAGAGCGAATAAAAAAAACAGAATGTTGAAAGTTTAGGACCAGTTCACACTTTAAAAACAAGAGCGACGCCGACGAGCTGACAAAAATAGGTTAGCTAATTTAAGATAGCCTACCAATGCTACGGTTGGAGCGTATTGTGTTGCCCCCAAGGGTGGTCAACGAGAAAGAGTCGCTAGTGTACTTTCTTTGAATAAACAGGATTAAAATAAACACATCCTGGTACATTTATGAGCTGCTCCGAGGCCCAAGGGACTCAACGCACACACTGGCTAAGCTGAGCTAGCAACCGCTAACTCCACATCACTCACCAGGCCACGCCTTTCAAAGCCACACAAATTCAAAGTCACACGTACTAAAGCGTAGAACGTGAGGAAGGCCAGCCCAAACGGACAACATTAATACCTGCACCTCTCAAGCGCATTTTTGTATTGGTACTATACAAAAGTCAATAGAATCGGCCATTTTGAAAATATTCGATAGCTGCAACCCTCAGAGAAAGAATTGGGATGTTCCATGCCACTTTTTTTTCTGAACGATACCAGTACGAGTATTCACATTGCAGTGCTCACGGTTAGCGCTACCACCTACGATAGCTGCCATTTCATTTCATACTATGACAGATAATTCTGAACAAAGATCGCTCTGTCTTTCGAATGCATGTGACGGTTCACCCGTACGTCAAACGCCTCGCAAGGAAGACGTACTCCACGTCTGATTTTTTTTTTTCGTAGAACGTGAGGAAGGCCAGCCCAAACGGACAACATTAATACCTGCACCTCTCAAGCGCATTTTTGTATTGGTACTATACAAAAGTCAATAGAATCGGCCATTTTGAAAATATTCGATAGCTGCAACCCTCAGAGAAAGAATTGGGATGTTCCATGCCACTTTTTTTTCTGAACGATACCAGTACGAGTATTCACATTGCAGTGTTCACGGTTAGCGCTACCACCTACGTTAGCTGCCATTCCATTTCATACTATGACAGATAATTCTGAACAAAGATCGCGCTGTCTTTCGAATGCACATGACGGTTCACTGATATGTCAAAACGGCTCGCAAGGAAGACGTACTCCCTGTCCGATTTTATATTTATAAAAATATATATATATATATTTTTTGCTTTGAGTATCGTGACTAGTATCGGCATCTTTCACGAGTCCTTGATGCCTTGAAATAAGGCCGCTATTGGCCCTTGACTCTCATTTACTCGCCCGTCGCCATTTTAGAATTTGAATAAATACCGCAGTACTGCACATTGGTTCAGTATGTTTGTTTTATTGCTGCACTGGGACTCATAGGGTTCGTGATTAGCTATGAATCCAGTGTCGCCCCTCGTAGAATCCAATTCATATTGTTTCTATTAGTAACTTGGCAGAGGAAAAAAAAAAAACAATCCTCAAGTAGCCAGATATGGTTACAAATGATTAGCATTAATCCATGGGTAAGCAGTGGGCATTTCTTCGGGCTCTCCATCCCTTCCCCCCTATTGAGATTTTTCCAGCAATCTGAAGTGGGAGCGTAACATCAAACAGGGATGCTGATCTCCAACCGGATTTTGTGTGGTGATTAGCCAATATTTATCTTTTCTTTTCACGGGGAGCACACGGCGCATGAACTCGGGCGACTTTCAGAGGCAAAGGATTAATTTGCACGCACTGGAATTAGTGCTAAGATGAAAGAGAGGAAAGTGAGGTCGGTGTGTGTGTGTGCGCACGCGTGCGTGTCGGGGGAGCATCCAAAAACCTCATCTGGAGTCGATGGTTTAATATAAAATACGAGGTGAACCTAAATTGAATTCCGTAAGCCGGAGGAAAAAGTTAACATGAAGGCGGAATTAGCTGGAGGAGCACATAATTAGCCACAAGTTGATGGAACAAAAGCTAAAAAAAAAAAAGCGTGTACATGTAAGGACAGAGTAAACAAGCGAGAAGAACAAAGTCAGCTGAAAACACGCAGCGGGAGCGCGCTCGCCGGCTCCCGCACTTAAATGAGAGCGGCCGGCTGGCTTTGTGTTGGATGGCGGCGGCGCCGACTCTCGCGGGGAGGACGCCGCGCCGTTGTTTATTTGCGTCGCGTTTTATCTGGCGCGCGCAGAAACACGCACACGCTTGCTATCGCTTACTGCTCGTGGCGGGAAGAAACCAAACACTATTTTTGTTACTTTCAAGTACATTTGCCATTTTATGCAAATGGACATAAGGTGTGTTTTTTTTTTTTTTTTTAAGGTCGTCTAACATTTTTGTTCGTCAATTAACAACGCTGGCAAAGCTATGGGAACGCGACGTTGAGATAGCATAAATGCTAAACAAAAAAGAGCTAAAGGCTTAAACAACAACATGCGACAGACATACTGGAAGGTAACTTGAGTGTTTAAAGTGTGAAACTATTTTAAGATTTTTTTGTTGTTTGTTTTAAAAATTGGTAATGCACATTTTTGACAGTAAAGGTCATTTTTTTTGTCAGGATGCTCATCATCACTTTTTTTTAGATAGATACGAGACTTTACTCTGAGTACCCACTGATATTGAGTACTTTTTGGAGTAGAACATTTACATTAACACAATGACAAAAAATTGTGAACAAAGACCTTACTCTTTTTCTGACGCAGATTGATGAGTCACCGATGTGTCAAACTGCAGCAGTATAGCGCCAACTACTGCCCAGGAGGATTTACTCGATGTCAGATTGTGTTTGCCTTAAGTATTGGTGGCGAGTATCGGCAGCTTCCACGATGCTCGATACCTTAAAATGACAGTCGACGACTCCTGGGCAGCGATTTAGTTTTGCACATCGACCGACTTGTTCCAAACAGCAAAACTGCTAACCCACATTAAGTTTTGAGGCTCCACTTCAATGAAACTGAACTGTTCTAGATTTCGTTGAACCACAAAAACATGGCATGATTGTCAAGAAACAACCGGAGTGGCACAAAGAGATGAGACAGGCCCTGTTTACTGACTGCGACCTTGCATTTCAGGAACAGAGACTCCCCACATTTCGTTTTGTGAGGTCCGTATGAAATCATAAATATAGTTAAGTATTATTGTAAAACACAATGAGAGCTAGTTTCCAAACCCCGAACACTGTGTGACAGGCCTTCGAGTCTCTAGTTTTACTTTTAACAGGTTTTTTTTTTGTTTGTTTTGTTTTAAATATCAGCATCTCTGCTTCTACAAACAAGCGCAGCTTACCGTCGCAGTCGCCCAAGTGAGCCACGTTTCCCTGCTCGATGTCTTGTTCAAATGGCAGCCTGTCAAGGAGGAAACAAAAAGAACAAAAGATTAATGATGTGTTAATGTGTTCGGAAATATACTCACAACGTATTTGATACAATTTCTTTGATGCCATTGAATTTGACAAAAATCATCCCAAAACACGCTCTACTCATTACCGTGACTTCAGATTTGTGTTTCGAATCCGACTGAATTCTGAAGGAGAAAAGGCTTCTCAAACACAAGCTTTGTAAAGCATTCATTGTAAATAGATCCTCAAAACAAAACAACAAAAAAAACCAACCAAATAGAGAGAATGAAAATGCCCCCGTGGCTTTATTATGACACTAATAACGAAACACAGCACTAATTGAAAGATCAACGGATACCCGCGGGGAGTTGAATGAAGCGGCTTAATGAGCCGAGTCGCAAAAAACGTCTTGGTCAGCATCTTCGCCGTTGACGTTCGCTATTGATGGGGTGAATCTCAACTCCTGTGTGTGTGTGTCATGCAGTCAATTTTGATGAGTTTCACCATTGACCCAAATTGATCACACTTCGGAGCGGGGGTGGGGGGGGTCCTCGACATGGGTATTTTAATTAAAGCCACTCGAGCGTCTCCCAATAATTTGTTCCGAATATAGAGTGCACAAAAAACAAGCCACTGAATATTTAGAACAGAACAAGGCGGACATATTGGGGATCACATCATCATTTATCGAATAATGTTTGACGAAGGAGCATGTGGTTCGCATATCACAATTGGATGTTTGGCTTGATTTTCTCTTGATTTATTTATTGACGACGCTGGATAATCTCTGCTCCTCCTGCCAAGGAATAATCGAGAAAGACAACTGCTCGTGTTTTCCCGTGGTCATTACACCAAAAAAAAAAAAAAAATGTTGGCGCCACATTTATATTTCAACCCTATTTGTGTTCTCCAGGTGTTCAATTTCGCACCCCGGGCAGCCTTTGGTCTCAAAACAATGTAATATTGATATCCAAATGAATTTTCTCCAGCAGAAAACAAACGCTGCGGTTTTATTAGGATCCCCTCGCTGAAGATTTCTTCATATATCATTCATAGCTGGGCCGCGGGGATTGTACTCGTGGCCTGATAAATAAGATATCACGCAACATCCCTCTCCAAGTTTGGGATGCCGCTACGTCAAAAAAAAACAAAAAAAAAAAACAATAATAATAATATTAAAAATATGATTACATTGTGAGTTGATTCACTCACACCTGAGCCTCTGAAAATTTAGATCTTCAGTCATATTTGTGAGTAACTTGGATTTAGGCAAATAACGGCCGTTCAGAAAGTGATCATCACTGTGACGCTGTCAGAAACACGTTGGATAAAAAGTGAGTCCAACTGCTGACAGCTGCTTCAGATTGATACATTTTGCTGACCTTATTTAGCAACGGGGAAAAACGTACACGAATACAAAGTGACGGCGAGCGCCTTTGAGAAGGTGGATTTTTCCGAGGCCGGTTCAATTGAGTCGGAAGCCCTTGAAGTGCGCCCTGCGTGACTCTCTTCGTCTGTGACATTTTAACAAACTTCTCGGGCGGGCGATAGGAAGCCGAGATGAAATGAGAGCCGACCAAAGGAAAGAAAACACAGCTGCGAAAACAGAGTCAAGTAGTACTCGGTCGCGACGCTGCTGAACACACAAAGGCCGCGAAATTAATTAGGCGGAAAGTCATGGCCAAAAATATCTAATTAGGACTTGAATTGAATATTTCTAAAACACCTGACACTTGTTTACAAGCATAGCAACAAACTAAACAATCGATAAAATTAAAAAAACAAAAAAAGTTCATATGACGAGATGAGCGATTAGTTGACTTCAAGCGTCAAGTGAAGTTGCCTCGTCCGGAAATCGCTTCAAAACCTTTCAACAACCATCGTTTGACTTCAAAAGTTGTGAGATTCAATACAGTGATACCTCTACTTAGGAAATTAATTGGTTCTGGAAGAAATTTTGGAACTAGAAAACTTTGTAAGTCGAGGCACGTTTTCCATGTAAATGCCCTAATTCGTTCCAAGCCCCCCCAAAATTCAGACATAAATGTTTCCTGAAGCATAAAAATGCATCAAAACATGTAACAAATACATGTTACAATCAGATTGTTGCACAATAAATGAGAGTTGTGTATGATGGAAAAAAACAAAGAATAACAATGACGGTCATTTAACTTTTAACTGCGTCCTCATCATTTTTTGCCCTCTTTAGTTCGTGTTCTTGCTCAGAGGTGGTTTTTGCCTGGCGTTTTGTCAAGAACTGATCCGAGGACGTTTACTTTCGTCAGCAACGATCCTTCGAAAATGTCCAAGGCAAACATCAGCATAGTGAGAGATTTCCCGACTGGTGAACACTTTTTGGGGTGATTTACATTTACGTGAAACGATCGGAATGCCTCATGGCCCGAGGGGCGAATGACGAGGACACTGCATAGACATATATCTATCTATCTACACATAGATAGACACATTTAGTAGAAGTCCCTCTTAGCCAATAGAATGCCAGGATGATGCTCTGGAATAGCCAATGGCAGAGCAGCTATGAGTATGTTGCGTTCAGGAAACTCGGAGCTGCGACTAGCAGCCCATACTGTATTTTTTCCCTTTCGTATCTTGAAATTTCTTTCGTGACAAGAGGCAATATTTTCGTGTCGAGACGTTTCGTAACTTGAAAATTTCGTATGAAGAGACGTTGGTAAGTAGAGGTACCACCGTGTTATGACAGGTTGTGTTCCGGCCACGCTTTGCAGAAAAGGGGCTTGCGTCACATCATCCCGCCTGGAGGAATTTCCCTGGAACTGGAAGCAGAATCGATCGGCGAGTGGAGCGGCCTCGTTAAATCAAATCAAAGGACGGCCGACACAAAGGCCTTTTAACGGCCCGCGCGGGTATTCACAGGCCAGCTTTGTGTGTTTTCTTGGCTCTACAATCGGCGATCTCGGAGCTCCTAATTTAATGAGCTGTCTGGTCGAAGCGCAGGAGGGAGACGGCAGCGCAGGTGAGAGCGCGCCTTACACCGCTAAGTGAAAGAAGCGGCGGTCTCATGCGGTGCTAGCAAGAGACATCTTGAACCAATAGCGGGACTGACAAGCCACTTAGACAGCACAGCTGTTCCTCTGAAAACAGGAATTCCAAACCATCTTACGAAAAAAACGCAATCGCAGTTGCGACGCCGGGAGATAAACTCGAAGCTCTCCCGTGCGTCACTGTCGGTCTGGTTTCCTTCAAGCGAGCGCGCCTAGCATCCATTTTGGAATGATGGCCAAAAAGTTCAACCTTGGTTTCACCTGGATCAGAACACACTTCATTTTTATGCTCTGCTTGTATGCGTTGCTGCTCATTGTACGTTCAAGGCGCAGTTGTTTGAAGGTTTATAACCACCAGAACATTGATGCTAATTTCTTACAGCCCGTCTATGGCGTTTCGCATTCCACGTTAGCATAAAGCTAGCAAAAAGTTCACGGTCAGTGGAGAAGAACGCAAGCTTGAGGAGTTCTGTTACCTGGTTGCGGGGCGAAGAAAAGAGCAGGTGCTTCCTCTGGTCCAGCCGCAGTATGGGTCCCTGGAGGCGATGCAGTTCCTACGCGGGGAAACCGAACGTCACACTTGCACCCAGAATCGGATCGCAAGAACGGAAAGCGTGCCTCTTTTGGGTTCATTATCCTTTTCCGAGCAAGAAATGAATTTGGGGGATGGATTTCCTGCGTGCGTGGGAATTTCCAAAGGACTTTCCAGCTGCGTGAATAGCCACCTGTAGCACTCGTTTGGAATGCAAACGGTTGGTAATGCAGTTTGAGATTTTGAAGTGGAGATTTGGACATGCATGCTCATTGTTTATGCAAACAACTGTCATGAAATAAAAGTACTCTTCAATTCGGGAAAAATCACATTTATTGTTCTATTTTTATACCATCTATTATAACTTTCGGTTTCACCGCGGCGATTTGATTGGAAGTGCGAGGGCGCGTGTGCAAATCTGTGCTCGCGCGTGTGGAAAAGCAGCGGTCGACTCACTTGATGCAGCGCGAGTAAAGCTGGCAGCGTGCCACGGGCACTCGCGCCACGCAGGAGGGGAAGGCCAAGATGAGCGTGTGACTCGCTCGATCCAGAGTCAGAGACAACAGCTGCCTGGCCTGCGGAGAGTCACCGGCGCACCTGCAACAAGGAAACACACGCAGGCCCCCACAAAAAAAAAACGTTTACGGATCAATAAAAAAATGAGATGCAGTTAGTTAAATTGTGTGAAGATTTTTTTGAAGAGACATTTTGCTACGTTCATAAACCAGGATATCTTCACGAACTAGATTTCCGACGACGTCTATGCACGTATGGAGACATTTTGAATCGAAAAGTAAGAAGAGGGCGGGATCATTGAAAATGTGTCAAAATAGAGAGAAAGAAAGAAAATATCAACGAATATATATTTTTTGAATCGAGTCTTACACTGCTACTTTCTTGTCTGATTTGCAGCCAAAATTGACGCGTTAAAAGAAAAACAAAAATCCCTTTTACTCCAAATTTGGCTTGGGTACAAATAAGTTCGACTCTGTTTCCGAACGACGCTTTTCTTTGTTCTAAACCGAACATAGACACCGACGACATCCAATTCTGTGGCTTTTTGTGCGTGTTTATACGTCCTATTCTCGATGATTGTGATTGCATGTCAAAGAAAAAAACTTCAATCAATTTTGCCCTCCAGGGTGACAATTAAAGGCCCCTCTTCCGCGTCTTTTTGTAAACATCTTTTATCTTCATTGATCTCTTTCTGGGGGTGGACATCAAAACCAGATGGCACCCATTTAACTCCAGACAGAATTTGTGCAACTCGATCGGTGTGATGAGACAAAAAAAAAAAAAAAATGGCGGCATGATCAAAAAAGATATTCCTTGACTTTGCTTTTAAATGTCTTCAGTTCTTCTCTTTGTGTGTCCTTTTTCATTGATTTTGTTTGTTAATGCCTTCAAATGTTTGTATGTTGAATGGTGTGAAGCACATTGAGTTAGCTGGTGCATGAAATCTCAATAGTGCCACCTCGCCTCGCATTAAACTGTTGTATCGGACCAACATTTTTTTTTTCCCCACACTTGACGGCAAAGGCTTGCTGGCTTCAGTCTTACTTTTCAGGGTTGAAGCCCTCCAGTTCCTCCAGGAAGATGTTGCTGCTGGTGACCGTGTTGTCCTGGTTGGGCATGATGAGAAACTTGAGGACGGTCCCCCGGCTGGAGCCCAAGAACAGAACCGTGCGGTTCCTGTACGGTCCGGCCTCCGAGTCCACCACAATCTTATTCAGTTGGTACCTGTGCACAGTGTGGAGGAAAAACAACACCTTTGGGATCATTTTTTTTTTCGACAAGAAATCAAATAAGACAACATGCAACGGGACTGGAATGGAATGAATTTGAAATGCCGATGAGATTTGCGTTGTGCGCTAATTAGGTTTGACGTCGGGGCGTTAATTACACAAAGAAAACAAAAGAAGAGCGCAACTGGACTGCGGCGGTCATGTTGTGGCCAAAGCTTCATTGTGCCCTTTTTATCTGGTGCCCAGTAATCCCCTCGTGGATGAGTGACAGTGTGAATGCTCGCAACAGATGACGGAAAGCGTCCCACGGAACAACCTGAGTCCATTACTTCCGACAGCTCCATTACTTTCAACGCCGCCTGGCCCGATTTCTACGGCTTAATCCTTTTATGCGGTGAGGGAAACATAATTGTTTACGAGATTATGGATTGTGTTTAGACGTGGAAAAGCGGGAATGCAAAATTTTACTGCCGCGCGTACGTCACCGGCGGGGAGATGAAGTACCAAGTGTAGACGGCCACCATTTATTTATTCAATCGTCCTATTGTTTATGTGCCATTAAAAAAAAAATAAATAAAAAACTAAAAAAATAAATTTTAAACAAGCACGTTATTCCTCCGAGGCAATCGTAAGTTAGGCGCAGCCACTCGCCGTTAAAGTCCCGGTAAAGTGAAAATAAACATCTCAGTTTGACACACCACATCCTACAAAATTTTCATTACGAATAAATAAATAAATAAATCGGCGTGTACGGTACATAAAATGAGGCTTCACTTGTCAAGCGTCCTGCCTGACCTGGGAAAAAAAAATGGATGCCACCTGTAACCGATGTTTGAATGCAAAAATATATCCGCATCTAGCCTTCAGTGGCGTGATCACATCCGACCGCTGCACCATTGGGCTTTTCCATGCCGTGACAACGAGGCACTCCGAAGAGGCTACGACCTGAAGCCCTAATTCATGCAAGGCGAGGCAAAGTGGCTTATTTATAGGGCACATTTCATACCCAAAGACATTTAAAGGCAAAGGAAAGAAACAAAAGTAACTTACTACTTTTGTAGATTACTTTACAAACCCAAAGTGCAAGAACAGGATTTTAAAAGGCTTTGAAAGATTTTAATCATGGGTCGGCAGCTTATTCCATTTTTGTGCAGCATATCAGGAATTTGCTACTTCACCACGTTTGCTTCCAACTATGGGCTCTGAACTTTACTTATAACACTAACCTTAAAAAAAAATTTTAAAAAAGACTCTCCATAACTTCCACTAACGACCCAGGCTAAACAGAGCACTTCCCTGAGACACGATGCTTCTCTCTCAGTCGAGAGATTTAGACAGGGCTATGGCGGCATCCCAGACGTGCGAACGCACCCGACGAGCAGGGCGTGCTCCAATTCCGGCACGTTCTGTGTGAAATGCACGGCCATTTATTCGGATAGCCATTTTCCGGGGTAGGCAGTTTGAAAGGGGTCACACAATTCGGACCCCGCTTAATTTTCAGCGCCATGCTTTCTCCTTACCTCGTTTTTAAACCTACATCCAGTGTTGCACCTCTAAGAAGAAAAAGGGAAGAAAGACCATTTGTGTTAAACGTTTGAAGGACGTGGAAGCACTTGGTCAATTCAACTCCGAAGAAAAGTCAAGGCATCAGTTTTGATATCCTTCCAAAGCGAGCCCACAGGGACTTGTGACCTCACCTGACCATGGTCTTGACTATCCACGGCCTTTGTCCAAGTGATGGGACGGCCTCGTCCATCAGTGGATGCGTCTTGACAAAATTAAGCATCTCATCCGGGAACGAGTTGGACGAATTAAACTTGGAACCCTGAACGGCGCAACCTCCTGGTCTGAGAAAACAAACAACAACAAAAAAAGTCACAACGCACCAAGCGGAATTCAAGCTGGAATTACGCTCCACGCCTCAAGGGACATCCTCAAAGGGAATCTGTAATTTAAAGGAGGTCAAATGTAAGATAAGACGTTTTCAATCAAGGCCACTGGGATCAAATATTGATCGATTTACAACTGATAACACGATAAGATGTCCACTGCAGTAAGCGCCGTCCCTGGAAGGGTTAAAATCATTTTGCATTTGGATGTACCCTATGTCACCCATTTTCAAGCTTTTGTTTTTTTCCCATCGTCCAAATTTTGAGTTATGTCCCTTTTTGTGTCGTTCCAGATTGTGCCACAACATGCGGGGCACCACTGAGCTCTTACCGGAAGAAATGCAGCATAATTAAGAGCAAGAGGAAATGATGAGCGGTCGCCCATCACGCGGTAGCCCATTTGTATGCATTGCTGCTCCTCGTGTGTTAAAGTGGCAGCAGTTTGACAGTTTGAAGTGATCGTAGCATCCATGCAAATATTTGTTCGCATGTCTCTGGTGTGACACATACGTTAGCATGAAGCGAGGGTTCCCTCTCTGACGGTTTTATTGTGAGGACTAAAGAGAAACGACACACTTTCATCTCCTCGTCTCGTTACCCAGTCCATCTCCAAAGGATGCTAAATCGTCTTACGTGTCAGTTTTGCAGCGGACTAACTCGGAGTGACAAACACTTCGCCTCTGATTTGGGAATGTGTGAGCGAGACTGAGAACGGGGGCGACGGGATCCTTGAAAAAGTGTTTTAATACACTGAATAAGTCTGTTTTTAATGCACTCAAGTGTGTTTAGAGTGTGCAGTATGGGTAAAGTGTAGATTTAAAAAAAAAGTTGGATATCCTGGATCGTCATCGATTGCAGGTGGGGCTGGAACCCAGCCCAGGTTGACTAGATTCTGTCCAAAGGCGCAGTGCGCTAATTAGGTCCGGTGCTGCTCACCTCGGCTTGGGGATGACTTCATCGGGAACGGGCGTCCAAATGGACTCGGCTGACTTCTGCTCTTTGAAGCGGCCGTCGAACACGGCGGCCAACTGCTCCATGTCGAAGGCGCACACGGCCGAGCCGGGGATGCTGCGGACACAGACGGATAGAGGGGGGAGAATATTTGTGCTGAACCCTTTCATGCACCAATAATGAGGCTTGCGGCCACCATCCGGGGACAGACACCCAAGCAAAAGACGACAAATTGGATTTGGGCTTTTGATATTTTCACAGTCAGTGCTTGAAAACAAAAGGGGGAATTGTTACCGAGAGCAAAACGAATGACAGGCAAAGATGGAACCTGTCAAGTTGGCGGCTTAAGAGAAAAAAAAAAAAAAACAGGCGCTGGATGCGAGAGAGAGAGATTAGAAAAGTCTTGGCGTGAATTTCTGGAAAATAAAACAAAAACGGGAAATGAGTCACAGCTTATTCCTCCCCGTCACAAAACCGACAGAGGGGGGGGGAAAAAAAGATTTGCGTGAAGGAAGTGAAGGGCGCCAACAACGCCTGCTGAGTCACGGGGGCGCTTTAACTGGCGGTGAACCCTGTCATGGGGGAGCGCCGCATCTGTCCACCGCCCACACGCAAAGACTCACATGAAGCACTCCGGACACACACACACACACACACACACACACACACACACACACACACACACACACACACACACACACACAAAAAAAAACGCCCCGTCCAAGGAATGCTCGACCGCCTCAGATGACGAATAATGTGCGGTGCGAACGGTGGAACAAGAAAAAAACAAAATCTCTTGCTTCAAAATCCAAAATATAGAGAGAACTTCTTTTATGCCTCCATAACATCAACCGATGAAGCAGACATGGGTTGGGTTTTTTTTTGAGGCTTTCAAGGTGCGGCATAGCAAAAAAAAAAAACACTAGCGAGGGCTTCAAACTCAACTTTGAAACCTTAATACAGACTTGAAACTCTAACTTTAGATCGACACGATGTTTCAAACCCTAACCAAGACTTGGACTCCTCATTTGAAACGCCAATTTGAAACCCTGACCGTGGCTTGAAACCCTAACTTGAATCCCTAACGGTTGTTTGAAACATTAAACCAGATTTGATATTCTAACTCAAAACCTTGCCTTGAAAACCCGAATTCCAAACCCTAATCCTGCCTTGGAAGTGAAATTTCGAACATTTAGCCTCATTTGAAACACGAACGCTCTCTTTATTCCCCTTCCGGCCGTTAAAAATGAATGCGCCCCCTTTCTAGCCCTTCCTTTTATTCAACTTCAACACAGCGTTTGCCAAGACAAAATGTTCAAACTGTCCTTGTGCAGCTCCGTCCCCTCGAATGATTTGGTTGAAAATGAAGCCGCCAGGTGGGCGGAAGATAACGAGCGAGACAAACAACAATAAAGAATTGCCTCTCAAAGGGAAACATGTCACATCTTGTAAAGGTGAATTATAAGACCAACATGTTGTGGCTTTGTTGGGGGGGGGGGGGGGGTGTCTCACTCTTGGCTACAGTAAGTGACTTTCTATGAAGTCCTCCCCATGATGTTGCCAGGCAACTAGCGATGAGAACATCGGCAACTTTATAACTGCAAAAATAAGGATCATGTTTTTTTAACCTGAGGATTAAAATGAATTTGAGGTGATCCAGGATCAGAATCTCATTCGCTTTAGTGTGGAACAAATACAGTGGAACTGGGATTTTCGAGTGCCCATTTTTTTGTTAGTTTTTCAAGTTACTGGTGCCGCTTGGTTGATTTTCTGTGGGGGCGGGGAAGAAGCTGACAGAGCTGAGACATCTTTTCACAAATGCAACACACCTGACAATTTAACAATAACAATAATAAATACATTTTGAAGCAGCTGATAAATATGCATTAAAAAGCACATAACGCTGACAAAAAAAAGGCCCAAAAAAGGTGGAACGCTTACAAAAAGCTTTACAAAATACCCCCCTGAAAAAAACTGCAAATAAGGTAAAAACTGACAAATTCAGACAGATGATAATGATGATGATGATGATGATGATGGAGAAAACTGCCCCCCCAAAAAATCAATTCATTTCAAGGGAGAAAGACCATTTGAAATAGATATGCTCCCTGCTTTCCTGATTTGGTGGTGTTTTCTCAGGTGGCCATCATGCACTCCCGGGATTCACGGCGCAAGGACCACATTCAAACTTGGCCTCCCACTCTGAGAACACGGCCGATCTTGCTTGTTTCTTTTTTTTCCTCTCTGTCTCTCTCTCTCCCAATCCTCTCACAGTGCACATTAGAAACCCAAACAAACAAGCACTCACATCATTTTCAGCTGACCAAACATCAGTGGTCATTTTTCGACTATCTACACTACAATACAATACATCCTGATTTATAATATATAAAGGAATATTATAATATTCCGTGTTTAGTTTTACTCACCACATTTCATAACACACTACAGACAAATACAGCAAAAAAAAAAAAAAAAAAAGAGAAAATTAGGTAAACTGAGAAATAAATACTGAAGTCCACATACTTGAATGCAGTAATATATTTTTTTCAATTCCCACCACTTTGTGGTGGCTTGCTAACTGGATTAGATAGCTACATAGATAGCTATATAGATGGCTAGTTAGCTAGATAGATGGCTAACTTGCTAGATGGATGGCTAGCTAACTATATAGACGCTAGCTAGCTAGACAGACAAACAGATGGTTGTTTTGTTTGTTTTGTGCTTGTAGATAGATAGAGAGATAGAGAGATAGATAGTCTCCTCTTCCGTGACTTGTTTGCGTGGCAAATGTTTCACAAGGGCAACATGAGCGAACACCTGCGAGTGCACTCTATGGCTTCGCGCCCAGCTTCCATTGTGTGCTGGCAGATGAAGCAATTTGTCCAGCTAGCACTTAGTGTGGCACAGCAGGCCACATGGGACCAGTGGGACATTCTGGCATTTATTTCCTTCTCCTTCTCCTCCTCCTCCTCCTCAGAATCATTGCTACTTTAGGCCAAGTGACCTATGTTAAAACAACCGAGGAATTTAATTTGAATATAAATTAAGCACATACTGTACCGTGTAAAAAAACAAAGTACAGAGTCCTAAAGCAATATAAAGTGTCCAACAGTGCGGTAATACCGATTTTCAACCCCAAACGCTAATTTGAAATCATAACTTGATATCCTAACCCTGTCATAAAATATGAACACCTAACTGTGGTTTAAAACCCTAAACTGGGCTTCAAAATCTAATTTGAAACCCAAACCAATACTTTCACCCTGAATTCGATACCCCAACCCAGGCTTGGAAGCCTAATTTGAAATCCTGTGCCACAAGATGGCAGCAAAGCCTAACTTTTGTCAGAGAAGCTCCTCAATTCACTTCACTTTCATACCAAGGCACCACAAAAGGAAAGCTTCTATTTAGCCTGAGCACAAAACAGTGGAAAGGAGAGTTTTTCAGCAAATAACCGAGAATAGGTCCATTCAAAAACCGGAATATGTAAATTTGTGAAGGATGGACGGCAAATATGAAGGGATTCACGATACAGAGTTAATACAGTTAAACAGCTTTGTAATGGAAACCATAACTACATTGAAAATGAGTCTGACGCCTCTGCTAAATGCTTTTATCTGGGATCCAATGAACGAGTGTGTGTGTGCATGTGCGCGTGTTTCCGCATGTTCAATTGCTCTTCCAAAGCGGCAGATAAGACACAGCTGATGAAACACTTTTCTGAGAGCTTGTGAAAGCCTGTGTTGTCCATTACTGACTTCCTCGTCCTTGACTTACTCAGCTGCCTTCGAACAACACTTCCCCACCAACCCCACCATCATCATCATCATCATCCCCCATGCCACAGAGTAGCCTGACAAAAGGTGGGAAAAAAACCCCAAAAGAAAACAAAAGAGCAAATCCTGACAATTCTCATTTATTGTGGACAACGGTCCGGTCAGTACCTGTTTGCCGGTGTGGAGAAGACGCCGAGGATGATGTCACGGCCGTGCATGTTAATGACGGGACTGGTGGAGTGCAGCATGTTGAAGTAGAAGTGGGAATCTCCCGGCACGGAGCAGTTGAGTCGGGCCTTCAGGAAGGACGTCCACTGCTTCTCCAGCACGCGCTGAGATCCGCCCTGGTCGCGCTTACACACCCGGGCCACACGGGGCACCACAACCTGCATCCAGACAATTGATACATGCAGGAGGTGTTTTCTCTGAGCGGGCAATTTTATTTACACATTTTTTTAATAATGCCCCCCCCCACCCCAAAACAAAAACCTAACAAAATTACAGCCAAAAAACAATATAATGTTTTAAAAAACATCTATGAATCCTTTGTTCTTGTTGACCTTCGTCATTTAAGTCGAAGGCCCTTCCCGAACGGTGGCACCCTCAGTGGAGGAAGACATACGTTACTGTCGTTTCGTTACCTTTTCCAGGTAATTAAACTCCATGGCGATCTCTCGGAAAAAGAAGTAGATGTGAGGGCCCCACTCCACAGCACTGACGAAGAAAGGCTCTGCATTGGGCAATAAAAAAAGTGCAGAGGAAAGTATTGGACACGTGCTAGCAAGGCGACAAATACTTTGCTGAAGGAGATTTTTTCAACTAATCTGTACTTGACTCAAGTGATTATTTTTCTGACCATGCTTCCTGCATTTGAAAACAGATACCTGGACTTTCTACTCCCTACTTAGTCACAATTGCCTTGCTATGCGCCGTTCGCTTGTGGGCACGGAGAAGGGGAAGAGACGGTCCGTGTGGAATTCACACCGGGAATAAAAAGCGTATAACGGCACCCTGCCGTTTGACTGGATTTATACTGGCAATGTCTACCTGCTTGGGGCCTGATAGCGACTCTTTTTACTGCCTTAAGCTGGTGAAATAGTGATGTACGAGGGGGGTTGGGGGGGGGGGTCCAAGCAGCTGCTAACTCAACATAAAGTAGTCAAGGCTGTGGGGGCACACTCAACCCTAAGTCTACGATACTCCTAATTCTTCACAAAATGACACGCTTGCGCGCGCACACGCACACACACACGCACACACACACACACACACACACACACACACACACACACACACACACACACACACACACACACATCTTCAGGTACCTCGGAACCACTTGGAGTCGTGCTTGATGGTGCGAAGAGCCGGACTGTCTCCGAGGCTCCGGTAGATGACCGCGTCGATGGCCAAGAAGTCCGTCACGGTGGCCGTAAACAGATTTCCCTCTGTGACGCGCACGCACGCCCGCAACACACACGCAGACACGTGCGTGCAAACAAGACAGTTGACAGACGAGTCAGTCCATTTGGGCTGCCAGCAAAACTACTCTGAAGACACTCAAAGCAAGGAATGTTTTACAGTGAACCTCCAAATAGTTTTTGTATCCCCAATTTTCATGAGAAATGGTCATCAATGCACTTTCAACTCCATATTGAATGGTCGCAAAGAGCTGCTGTAGGCCACAGTTTACACCGAGACGCGCACAGACGAACAAGCCCTTCTCCTTATGTCACTCAACAGGCCACGTCCCTTAAAGGCACACATCCAACACGTGAATTTTACAGCCGATCAATGAGCCCCGCCTCTTGAAGGCACACGCATGTACGCAAACACCCTAATACTATTTCACATAATTTTTCCCCACATTTGACACCATTTGGGTTGTTGACGCTTAAATGACATGGCTCTCTGGCCACGCCCACATCTCGAGGAAGATTTTGATACCGGTGACTTTCCAGCTATTTTCACGCGTGCACATGTACATGGTCACCCCTCAGTGAAACGTGTCACCCTGTCCACCCCGCTGAAATTCTTTTGGCCACACCCACCGGGTCTCTTTATTATGCATATTCCCCTGGATCCGGAATGTATCAGCTATCACAAGAGTACAAGTTAATATTAATAAATTAAGGATAGAGAAAGGCTGGTCAATTACACTGTCAAGTGTTAAATCAAGTGAAATCAACAGACGGGGCGGCTAAATAAACTGAAGAAAGCCGCAGCCGAGCATAATAAAAGGCCCATTATCCACCCTGGTGACAAACAACAAAGGCTCCTTAATGATGATGCGCTCAAGTCATTACGGAGACGACAGAACAAATCAGTGTACGGCCGGAACATCGCGGCAGCATGATCGACACGCGGGACAGCAACGCGTCATCCTTTACCTGCAAACAAGGCCACGTTGGCGTGTTTGGGGTCATAAGGGCATCTGGCCATTCCGCTGACGGGGTCACTGGCCATTTCCAGAGTGTCCCCCTGTGACACACACGTTACGCGCATGTATGAATACACAAACACCGAGACAACAATCAGTCGCAATGTGAATGGGGGTATTATGGAAAAACAAGTCACTGGAGAATGACAATTAGCGCGTGTTAGCCTATGCGTACACTAGCGATTCATTGGTGGCAATTAGGTGCAATAATGACAACAAGAGAGTCACACAGTGGCGCATCAATACTACACACACACACACACACAAACACAAACACACACATACCACACAGAGGATGGATAAAGGTTCCCACAAATAAATCACTTGGTTTCCTCCAGTTCCCCACACCAGTAATCCGTTTGTGTCCGTGATTGAACTGATGAGTCAGTTAGCCGACTAGCTAACTTTCCTACCGCGCGGGAAAGTTTGAAGCTTGAAATGGACTAATGGCCACTCATGTATTCGGCATCTGCTCAATCAGCGACTGAAGGACGCTCGGCACGCTCGTCGCCAGACTGCGAACAATAAGACGGTTGCTAATTGGAATAGCAGTTAGCATTGCTAGTTTTAGCTATTCCAAACGACGCTAATCTTAAAATATTCACACGAGCAGCACCACGGGACTGCTAGCGAGGTGTGAGGCCAAAGGGAAGCTCCAGCTCAGTCGCCAACATGTTCTGTGCAATAATGCGCGGTCAACAACTGTGCGTTAACGATGACAACACCGCGATGTCACCGACAGAAATACTAGAGGTACTATTCCCCTATTTAGACAAGAGCTTTCACAGAATCTTCTATCGTCTCGTTTCAAAAAGAAAAAAAAGGTCAAGACGTGAATTTATGTGCGGGCGAACCACAAAATATTGCAAGGGATTCGTGTACGGTATTATACAGTAGGCGGTGTTGCATTAAGGCAGAGCTATAAATAAAGAAGTTGCTAGCATTGCTAACTAGGCCCCAGGGAAGGAAACAGCGAGGCAATCAGGTGCGTCGAGCACAGTTGTCATTAGTAGCTGACAGATAACGAGCCGGCGCCTCACCGCCGCTTGTAATGTGAGCCATGAAAAATGATCTGCCGGAGCGCCTTTGATTATCAAAGTATTTCGGCTTTGATCCAACGTTTAATATTCAATCGCCGGCCAAGCCAATGACTCATTTACTGTTTGTGCCGTTCCTTGCCGTGGTTTGAAGTTGCGATAGAGGCGAGCCGAGGTGCCTTTAGGGAAGCGAATCAGCGGCATGCTGATAGATTGCGGCAAATTGAAGAACGGTGGAGTGTTTGACTAATGGGAAAGGGAGGAAAGCGATGAGAGGGCAAATTGACAGCATCGGGGGCGGTCAACACTTGTTAGCAGAACCTTGTTGACTTCATATTTTCTCTTCGATCGTTTTTTTTTTTTTTTTTTTTTTTTTAACCCAAGCAGGTAAACAAATTACTCATATCTTCACATGTTCTCATTCATTCGACGCCTCTTCAAAATCTGCTGTCACGTCATTGGAGGTGACGTTACCATGAGGCAAATAATAAATTTTTGGTTTTAGTGAAAAAAAAAAAAAAAAAAAACAACCCCCGCCTCCCACATTAATCTTCTGCCTTTCTCCAAGTGACGTATATGCACTCGTGTCTCGACAACTAGGTGGTCTGGCGCTGCCACATCAGTGGACTATCGAAAGGAAGGATGCGACTTCAGGGTGGAGAGCTTTGCCGCCATCTTGTGGCATCGATAGGCTATTAATTTTTTTGTATATATGTGTGTGTGTGTGTGTGTGTGTGTGTGTGTGTGTGTGTGTGTGTGTGTGTGTGTGTGAGTTGTTGACAGTTTTTTTGCTAGCGCGGGTTTCACTGTACTTGTTGGCTGAAACGGGTACTCAAGTTATTAGAGTACCTTGGATCCCAAAAAAAAACAAAAAATAAAAACTAAATAAAGTGGAAAACAGTGTACTGCTATGATTTAAAATTTTTTTTTTTTTTTTGATGCAAAGACCCAATTATTCAGTTTGAATTTTCAAAATTCAAAATTATCCAAATGCCAAAATATTCCACAGCTGTTTTTTTCTTATTTAAAAGCAGTCATGATGGGTACATTTTCAGCAAACAAGCGACAGCAACAGCTCGACACGAGAACGGAAAAAAAAAAAAAAAGAAACTCTTGACAAACAGCTGAAGGCGGGATGATGTCAAACAAACAACGTGCATGTTCACCCTGGCAGGCGGACTAACTGTGATGTGTGAGCAAGGGCAAACAGATCGGACATTCATTTTTTTTTTTATACTTACGGTATAGTTGGCACAGAGCGGGTTGAAAGCGTTGGTGCCGCACACAAACAGGCCACCGGGCCGACTGAGGAGTACCTTCATGAAATTCCGACATTCGTCCTGCATGGTGACAAAAACAAAACAAAAGCGCTTCAGTTGACTCAAGTTCATTTTATGGCACCGAGTCACTTCTTGGGCACGCATTGAGCAGGTCAAGAACGACGTTCCTCATGCCTGTGAATGTTCTTCTCCAAAAATGTCTTTTGTTTTCATCGTCGTCAGTTAATGTGAAACAGGAGCCGTCGGGGTTGATTTTAAATGTATGTGGAAGTTGGCAACTTGGCAAACAAGGAATGGAAAGCCAGACCATCCGAGCTTTTTATTGACGACGTCAGGGTTGCAACGCAGCCAACTTTAGAAACGGTTCTATGCATTGCACTTACTGTACTTCAAAAATCTGCAAACCCTTAAAATGGCTGTTTTAAAAATATTTTGTTGCATTATTACGACACAATGCTTCACAATAAATCAGGGTTGTTTCTTTTTAATAGCATTAAAAAAAAACTAAAACGAACACTAAAACTAATAAAACTAACAAACCCGCTCTAAAACCCAATTTTAACTAAACTCAACATGAAATAAGAAGTAACTATCATGAAAATTCCCAAACTATTAAAACCTTGCCTTGTATTGTGTGCTGCGGCTCCACTGTTTTCCTTTTTTAAAAAAAAAAAAAAAAAAAATTAATTGAACCACAAAAACATGGGGCGATTGTCAAGGAAGAAGCACATGGCCTCAAAGAGGAGCAAAGTGCCGGGAATAAAAACAGATTGTGGCTTTTTTTTTTTTGAGAGGCTGACAATGATCAATCCTTTCAGTGACTGCAACTTCCTTGCTCCAGAAAACAGGAAAGCGCTGTTTGAGCGGCCAAAGCATGAACAACAGCAGCCGTATCAACAAGAGGAATAGTCGCCGTTATGGACTGTAAATGAACAGGAAATTTAATGCGAGTCGAGAGAGGAAAAAAAAAAAAAATGACAACAGCTCGAGAATAAGCGCACGCATGAAAACCCGAAGTCTTTCAGTCAGCAGAAGCCCGGTCCAAACAAGTGATTATCTAAAACAGCTCAGTGAAACGAAGCTTTTCACTCGCCTGATGTGCGGAATTATTTCACCATTAACGCTGCCAATCACGCTGACGGACGTTGAATGCGGCCTGTCGGCCCTGAAAGCGTCTACAGACGCGCGAGCGTGCCGCCGCTGATGATTGACAGACTGTAATCCAAACCAGCCCGGGGATCTTAAAACAAACGTCGCGTCCGGGGCTAATTTCGTCAACGTGACACTTCAAAGTAGATGGAGTCGCACGACAAAAATCATTCTCTTAAAAAGGGAATGGCCATGCAGCCGACGGCGCCCGATGGAGACAAATGACTCGAGTTAATCTGCCGCCGTCGCTGAAAAATGGTTTCCGACGTGCCGTCACGCACGTGTTAACATTAACGTGTACTACACCTACACAACCTTTGAGATGTCATTGATATTGTTTTTGAGATAACTAACAAAGGAGGTTTCTTGATTTATTTTGGGTTTTTTTTTTTGCTAACAGGTCCCGAAGCATGTTTACATCATGTACTGAGCAAGGCTGGCCATTTACAGTCGATTCTAATTCCCCTTCAATAAATTAAAAAAAAAAAAAAGCTAAAGCAAATGACAACAAGGTGGCCATTTGGGAATTTGGGCACATGAAACTTTTTATGAATTAACCAAAAATCATCCGCCCATTTCCAACCCTCCGATGTACAGTCCTCCTCCTCGGAAATATTAGTGCCCCAAGTGTGAATGGTACCCGGTTCGCCGGGCGTTCAATGACATCAGAGTAAAGGGTGGTCATGCTGACGACCGCCTTTTTTGGATAAATAAAACCAGCTCAAAGCCAGATGCTGCTGCCCCTCGAAACCGCCCATCAAATTTCCCGCTTCGGTCCTAGCAAGGTTCTCAATTTTCACCAGTTCAAAAAAACAAAAAGTCTAAGCGCGCGTTCAATGCGGATGTGTGGTGTCAAGTGTGAGGTGTCATTTTTCCATGTGACAGTGATGTGCTAGCTCCCCCCCCCATTAACACACACCACCTGGCTTCCTGCGTGAGTCTGCTCCACGTTAACGTGTGATGAGCCCTCGGCTTTGGTTTAAGTTTGGAAAACTGCTCCCCAAGTGGAGTCTAGGAAAAGAACACTGTCTCAAAACATGAGGCATCAGTAAGGCCGAAGTCCAAAAATGAAATCAAGTCGAACAATCTTGATTAGCCACAGTACTTACTGACACATTAGCCACCCATTAGCTGGACTTGCATTTGCTAGCTGTTTGAACACAATCACATATTTGTCTCTGTTGTCTTTGTTTTTTGTTGAACACGTAAGTGACACGAAGTCTGGTTAATGTTTATCCATTAGCTCGGCGACATTTAGCATAGCTAGCTTAGCTTACCGGTTCTTTGTGGGTTTTCGAAAGACGGATCAAGTTAGACGACGTCATTTTGTGTGTCTCGTATCTTGAATTTGTCAACCTTGCATGTTACATTCACTTTCTCCCGATTTGATCAAAAGTGTAATCCTCGAATCCAAACTGAACAACCTGTCGGAGCTCCCTCAAAGATGTGCTTCAGTTGCCGTCCTCCTGAGGATAAAATGTGCTCTCGTACATGGACCTTTTCGCCTTTAGCATCAAGAACATGTTCCGAAATCAACACAAGCGGGGTTTTTTTCAGCGGTCCGTATTGGAGAAAATGATTCGTCTGGGATGAAAACAAGGGATGGGGGTCCATTGTCGAACTCTAACAACTGGCTTTTGATTTCCATTTTCTCTTTATGAAGATTGGCAAAATTCATCTGCTGCTGGATGAATTCGTTTCATTAACGAGCATTCATCTATTCCAGGAAGCAATTTGGCACTCGATGGCGTGAGCTTTATTCAAAGAGAAATGAAGTCAGCGGGATTAGGCTTTTAGCGCGCTTTCTGAACACACACACACCAACGCGCACACGCAAACACACACACGCAGCAGATGATCAAGCCGCGAACGAGCGAATGATAAAATTGTGTATAGATCCAAATGTTTAATGTCCTTATGCCTCCTTCTCCCCTCCGACGGCGCTCTCTGCTCCTTGCCTCCCTTTCCTGGGAAGGCGTCCAGACAAAACGCCACCTGTGCTGCGTTGGCAAGCCTTTGCGAAAAAAAAAAAAAAACTGCAGCCCCTCCTCCTCCTGCTTCTCCTCCTCCCCGCGTCCTCCCGCTCATCTAACGGACACTGGCAAGAGCTGCAGGGCCTCTGAAAAATTCATCTCCTGCTCAGATGAAGCAGGCGGCGGGCCAGCATAAATATGGCCGGGGATGAATATGTCATGCTTTTTATTTACCGCTAGGGATGTTCCCAACAGTCCTGATGGAGTACGGGTATGAAAGCCCACGTAAACTCGAAGATGAAATCTGACGCGAAATCACGTCGAGGTGCTCTGCTACGCTGTAAATACGTGAATAATTAAAGGGATACGAGACTGATTACTGAGATTTACGGCAGCGATCAAATTTGAAAGTCCAGACGGCAAGCGCCGCCCATTTTGAAACTCGGTGTGGTCATCGGAGGTTTCCAACTGCTGAGCTGAGCGCAACAATGCTAGAGGCTAATGCTATTCCTCTGCCGGCTTCAAAATACTTTCCAGATCAGATTTCTCATGCTAGAAACATTTCTATCATGGAATATGGTACTTGTTTTTGCGAATAGTTTGCGGTTGTCATGCGTCATGAATTGCTATTCCTCTGCCGGCTTCAAATACTTTCCAGATCGGATTTCTCATGCTAGAAACATTTCTATCATGGAACGTGGTACTTGTTTGCGAATAGTTTGCGGTTGTCATGCGTCATGAATGCGAAATGTACAACCATTGGACACGAGAGCTTGTTATTTGCCACCAATTAACAAGCTATGCTAACAACACTGACTAACACATTTGAATTAGCCACAACAAAACAGCATGTTCCATTTCAGGGTTTTTTTTTTTCCATTTGTTTGTGACACTTTGTGTCCCCTCTAAAAGTATTGGAACAACAAGGTCAATTCCTTTGTTTTTTTTTTGTGTGTGTGTGTGTGTTTGTACAGAAAATATTTTGGTTTCAGATGGAAAGATGAATATAAGAATGGGTGAGAGATGAGAGAAAACATGGATGGTCAATCACCGGACCTGAACCCAAATAGAAGCATGCATTTCAACTTCCGAAGCGGAGACGCAAAGGAGAAACCCCCGGAAACAAACAAGAACCAACAGGGGCTGCAGCAAAGGCCTGGAAAGCACCACTCGGCTGAAGTCAAAAAGGAAGGTTGTATCGGTATCGGATCAATATTGCTAATATCAGGTAATACCAGGTGGTATTGAACGTGAGCCAATTTTATACTCTGGCGAAAGTGTCAACAAACGACTCATCTTGATTTTGATTTGGTATTCATGAGTCTTGTGTACGTGTTGCGCAATTTCCACACAAACAAGCTCTTCACGCTTCCACTGAGTCATTTTAGAAACAGAAAGGTTCCGAGTCGCTCGGAGTGCAGAAACAGAAACATGTGACTTAATGTGTTATTTCACGCAGATTTTTAAAAAAAAATTCCTGTCATTAATTAATCACAATTAAAAAGATTAAAATCTCAATTATGCTAATCGTAGAGCGTTTCGTTTGCTATGAAAATCCTATTAAATGCTCCAAAAGACAGGCACAGCATCAGTCGCAAACAGAGGTGGCAAAAGTACTTTACTTAAGTCAAAGTACAGTTAATTATGGGGAAAAAACAGATTCGACTCCATTTCAAATGTAAGAGAAGTAAATCCTCAACGAAGCAGAAATACCGAAAGAAATCTACTTGAGTACGGTAACAAACTATGATGTACTTTGTTACTTCCCACCACGAATAATTCATAATCGCGAGGAAACCCCAACTTTTGCATCTGTTTTCCATCTTTTGTTGGGACCGAAAACAACAAACAAACTTTTCATTTGACTTCATGTCAACCAAAGCCATGTTTTACCTTTGGCGACAATCAACATTCCTCGTCGGAATCACAAAACAAAAC